GCACAGGAGCGAGACCCGTCTCGTCACTATAAATAGACAGAATTAATTGGCAACTGATATTATATATAAAAAAAAAATTAGCCGGCATGGTGGCGTATGCCTGTAGTCCAGGTACCGGGGAGGCTGAGGCAGAAGATCACTCGAGCCCAGGATGTAGGTGCTGGAGCTGGGCTGACGCCACGGCACTCACTCTAGCCTGGAACAAAGCGAGACTCTGCTCAAAAAAAAAAAAAAGAAACACTTTTATACAAATTATAACATGCAAGGATTTTACAACTTCCTTTCAGGCTGGTTTTGAACTCCTGACCTTGAGCAATCCGCCCGCCTCGGCCTCCCAAGAGCTAGGATTACAGGTGTGAGCCACCGCGCCCGGCCAGTGTTTTCTTTTTTAAAGAAATGTAATGCTCTTAAATACTTTTTATATACCTCTATAATATATTGTTGGTTTTCTTTTTCTTTAATCAAATTGCTGTTAAAATATAACCTGGTCCTAATGGAGATTATTTATATTTTTAGGAATAAAGGTTGGGGAGACTACACCTGACAAACTTTTCACTCTTATAGAAGTGGAATGTTTAGGGGCCTGTGTAAATGCACCAATGGTTCAAATAAATGACAACTATTATGTGAGTATTTCATTTAATATAAGTTAAAGTTGTATATCATATTTAAAATATCTTAAATACTGATTTTGTGTCCTATAAATGTTGGTTCTAAATGAATTATTCAGAAGAAGCTGTTAGCATAAATATCTAGGTTTTTAAAAAATTATCTTTAAGCATTTTTGCATTTAACTCTAGGTGATAACAAATATTTTAAACTTTTAAATTATGAAAAATTTAATAATTTACATATAAACATACAGAATAACCTTGGTGTAGCAACTACCAAGACTTAACAGATAGTAACATTTTGCCACATTTTACTTCAGATTTTGTTATCATCATCATCATTTGTAAAAATAGCTAGATAACACAGGTGAAGCATCTCCATCCCAAATCTTACTCTTTCTTTCATCCCCCAAGATAACCATTATCATAAATTTAATGTGTGTTCTTCCTATACATGTTTTTAAACTTTTTCTATATATGTGTGTAGCCAGACTAATATATTACTTGTTTTAAAAATTTTATAGAGATGGTATCATACCTCTAAGTACTGCTTTAGCTGTATTTCACAAGTTTATTTTATTTTATTTTTTTTTTTTTTTTTTTTTGAGACAGAGTCTCGCTTTGTTGCCCAGGCTAGAGTGAGTGCCGTGGCGTCAGCCTAGCTCACAGCAACCTCAAACTCCTGGGCTTGAGTGATCCTCCTGCCTCAGCCTCCCAAGTAGCTGGGACTACAGGCATGCGCCACCATGCCCGGCTAATTTTTTTTTTTATATATATATCAGTTGGCCAATTAATTTCTTTCTATTTATAGTAGAGACGGGGTCTCGCTCTTGCTCAGGCTGGTTTCGAACTCCTGACCTTGAGCAATCCGCCCGCCTCGGCCTCCCAAAGTGCTAGGATTACAGGCGTGAGCCACCACGCCCGGCCAGTTTCAGTTAATTTTTTTAAAGCTTTATACTGATATTGTTCCTATGGTATTATTTAGGAATTATAACCATACTTTTATGTTTATCTCAGTCTGGGTTCTGGACAGGCAAATTAGGGATATAGGCATAACCTTGTGTTTAATTCAGAGATTGATCCTTAAGCAAAATTGGAAGAAATTGAACTGTCTCCTTGAATATAAATGTTGCATTCTTTTTAGAAAATTATCATATATTTAAGATACAGAAAAGCATAAGGAATTGTATGCCTAAGAAAGGAAAAAATCAACACAATTGAAGCCTCTTCTGATTGCATCCCCCTCAATTATCTTGAAACTGATATTTATCACTCCCTTTTTTTGTTCCTGTATCTCACATTCTGGGTCATGTCTTGTTAATTAAAGCAAATGTTCCGTGTAAACTTATTGCTTCAACTGAAATATTATTTGGACTTAGGGAAAAGTTGAATATGCAATTGTATTATATTATTCCTTTTACTTCTCTTATATGTTTGCCTTCTTTGAATTGTGCAACTCTTTGCCAGTTCCATGCTTGGTTTAATTCAGTGTTCTGTCATCTGTGGTTAGTAGAACTCAGAAATTAGAGAATCCAGAGCAATCAATAGTTGATTGCTTGAGGGGCAGGGTAGGAGCGAGAGGGCAAAGAGAAATGAAATATGACAGAGAATAATCAGATTTTTTCCAAAGCAATCAAGTATTGTCAATCTGCATACATCATAAATAGCTTTATGAAACTATTTTTACAGCTGGAGTTTCTGAACTAATTTAGTACAGGATTGAAAAGGAGGACATAGTTGACTCATTTGTACAGAGTATATGACTCATATGTATAGAATGAAAACATGTTTATGACAGTCCACATTAAACAAAAGTTGGCATCCAACTTGATTCAGACAAAAGTGAAAGGCAATAAGTTAACGGTACATTGTTTCTCCAAATGCATGCCAGCAGAGTGTGGTAGGAAGGGTACACAACTCAGCACATCTGGGTTGTAGTCCTGCCTCTCCCATTGACTCTTGAGTGTGACCTTAGGCAAGTGAATAACCTTGCCTTTGAATCTCCATTTTTTTAATATGTCTCCTGAAATAGAGATGGACAGGGTATAGAGTAGTAGACCATCTCTCTTAAGATCTTTTACTTCTATAAGTTGATCCCATTGTTTTAAATAATGAATCTTAAAGTATTTCCTTAAGAAACATTTCTTAAGGCTGTGATTTACTAAACTTTGTTAAAATTTTAAATTTTAGGGAAGACATATAAGGAATTTCCATAAGACAGCTGTGCAAAATGGAGCTGGAGGAGCTTTATTTGTGGTAAGTAATTATTTAGATTTCTTCAGAAAGAAAAGACTTGGAAATTTGTGTAAATCTATTGTAATAACCCCAAATATCTTAAACACCAGTGTCTTTGTTATATGCTGGCTATTGTGGGTATTTAAATCCAGCTAATTGAATTTATTACATTTCAAAATATATGTGGTTCCAGATGAACCTCTTATGTTTAAATTGGCACCAGGGAAACTATAGGAATAAGAACTTAGTTTGTTCTTTGGTGAAATTACCGTGAGCCCTAACCTGATTCTCATAACTCTTTGGGTTCTCACAAATCAGTCATGCTAGCTGACTGAAGATTGTGAGGCTGTAACTTGGGGAATCTCAAAATTACATTAGTTTGAAACTCATGGATTTTAGTAATGTAGTGAATATATTAGTAGCTGGCCTTTATATTTTTGGTTTCCAAGGTTTAACTACTGGTAGAAGTCTATGAATTTAGCAGCTTAGTTGCAAAATTCAGAATGAATAAAATAATGTATCCCTTTTTTGAACAAGGTGCAGTTTTTAGGGATTAATCTAGTGTTGTTTAAAGGCAGTATAGGGGACTTGTATGATGATTTAGAGTTAGTGATACAATAAGTAGCTTCCTGCTATGTTTTATCATGTGTGTCTAAAAACATCAAAGTGGCCACATATTTAAGATCATTGTCCAAAGTTTCTGTTTTCTTTCCTCTTTTTGGTTTATGTTCTTTAAAAAGCAGAACTCTGAGAGTTAACATATCGAGAGATTCAGTTCTGTATTTACCACACATACATAGCATTAATTGATGTGTTAATCTCAGTGTGACTCATTTGATTTCCTGTTGACATGCCGTTTCTTGTCAGTTTTGGAAGTGGGCCTGCTTTGCTCTTTCAAGGCGAAGAAATAAAGCTTCTTGCTATTCTCTTTATGGAAAATATGTGGGGATGAGATGGTCCTTTTGTACCTTACCTAAAGTAATGGGTCTTAACCTTTTTGGGTCCCAGATCCCTTTGACAATCTGACACTCTCTCTTTTGGAAAAATGTACCTATGTTCACACTCAAAATTTTGTGTCTTAATTTCATAAGGCTTCCAATAATTGGTAGTGTTTTGGTAATTATATTAGAAGATCCTGTTATCTAATGAAGTCGAGTAACACTTTTTTTGTTTGTTTTTGTGGTCCAAAAGCTACTTCTCTTAACCTTTAAAAGGTGTTTCCTAAAACTTTTCTAAAATTTTGAGTTTTGCTGACTTTACTTTGGTAATCATACGCATCAAATATGTGTTTAGTCATTCTTTTTGATGGAATGATAGATTGATATATATCATGTTGTAATTAAAATGGAGAGATTAAACGATCAGTAATAGTATAGTGATGTACAGCGTTATTCATACTTTTGAGAGAATTTGGATAATTTCGGAAACCCTTTTTTTCTTTGAATAGCACAGAGATACTCCTGAGAATAACCCAGATACTCCATTTGATTTCACACCGGAAAACTATAAGGTATGACTAAATTAACATTATAATTAATTTACAGAATATTTAGTAGTTTTCACATGTATAAAGTGGGTGTTTGTTTGTTTTTTGTTTGTTTGTTTGTTCGTTTGTTTTTATACAGAGGATAGAGGCAATTGTAAAAAACTATCCAGAAGGGCATAAAGCAGCAGCTGTGCTTCCAGTCCTGGATTTAGCTCAAAGGCAAAATGGATGGTTGCCCATCTCTGCTATGAATAAGGTACTGGTCCATTTTTGCCTTAGTTGGAAAAGAGGAGAGATTGTGTATAACTTCCTTATGTTGTAATTACCTTGATAATCTCCAATGTCAGAATCTATGAGTTTGGAGCCCTTTAGTCATTTATATGTATCCTTGAATTATATTTGTGTTTTTATTGCTTCCCTTAATGCAGAGAACTGAAGTAGAACTTTCTATCCTTGCAGAAAATAGTGGAAGCATTATGGTGAAAGAGGGTTTTTTTGTTTTTGTTTTTGGTAATTTTTTTTTGAGGGAAATAGTCATAGTAAAGATGAAGGATCCCAAATATGTATAATTTAGTGTCAAGATACTCCAAAAATTAGCATAATATTTAAACATTAGAATTACAGAAAAAAAAGATCAGGTCACAGCTAGTATGAGTCTTTTTAATATTTTACATATTTGACTATAGAGTTAAATAAAAATTTATATAATATGTGGTATTTATGCTACTTCGGAACCAACAACCTTAAAAAATGCTATGGGTGACCTATTTTGACTAACTATATGAAGTTAGTCTATCATACATATTTTAAGATTTATTTTTTTCTAATAGTTTTCAGCAGTAATCCAAATTTCAAGTTTGTCCATATCCTAATAGTATAAATAACTACATTTGTGTAGTGATATAGTGTATCATTTACAAAGTGCTATACACAAACCACATACTATTTGATTCTTATGAGAATCACACAACTAAGCCATGTTTTATAATGGAAATATTTTTGTCTGATTTTTCTCTGGACTTCTTCATTAGCAATGAAGGTATTGAAGTCGGTAGATCTCTTCAAATTATTATGTTATGATTTCTAAGTGATAGAGCTGGGACTGAATTCATTTACAAATCAATGCATTTTATGCTTGACCAACTGTCACAGAGATTGTGCTGTACTTCATTCTCCTTACTACTTTCTAGACTTTATTTGGTTATAACTATTAGGCTACACCTTCATCTTTCTTGGAGAATAGGAATGTCCTCAATTTATCTAATAGAATCCCTAATGGAACTTTTAGGTTTAGTTTATTTGCTTTGTACAGTACTCCTAACCCTGTATGGACCCTTAGTACTTTTTTCACTATGAAAAATGTCATAAAGCAAGTTTAGTGAGGTACTATCCTGAGTAAAACATGATCCGATCGTTATTTTTTCAATAAATCACATGTTTCTTTGGGAGTTACATTGTTTTTAAATTAAAATAGCTAACTTTCTAAGTAATGATTTAGGTATATGTTTCTAATTATGGTTTTGGGGTGGTTTTTTTGCCAAAATTCATGTTTTAATAATGGCAAGCCTATTGGAAGTCTTGTTATGGCAAGCTTAGCAGAGGAAAATAAATAAGAAACTAAATGTGAGAACATTTAAAAAATAAGGCAGTCATAGTAGCTTGTACCTATAATTCCTGCTACTTGGGAGGCTGAGGAAGGATTGCTTGAGCCTAGGAGTTTGAGACCATCCTGAGCAACATGATGAGACTGAGTTTCCAAAAAGAAAAATAAAATAAATGTCCTAGTCTGTTTAGAGTTGGATATGTATGGGGGAAGAGGCAGGAAATAGGGTATAGAGAATAGAATCAAGATTCTTTCCACTTTATGTTTGGAACTTTTATTTTAATGTTGCTTCCCTTCCCCTGCCCCAACTCAAGAAACACCCAACTGACACCCAACCTTACAACAAAAAAATCCATCAGCTCACTAATTATCTCTTTAATTGTCACTAAGGCATAGGGAGGTGTGCAGCAGAATTCCAGGGAGAGCTTTTTCAAATTAGACAATCAGGGTCTCACTCTAGATTTATTAAATTATTTCAGTAATAGGGCTCCAACAGGTATATTTTGATAGAGAGCTCCCCAGATTCAGAGATGCATCCCTGGTTTAGAACCACCAAATTAAATAGCACAACTACTATATCTGTCACAAGTAAGCCATGATTAGATATTTCCTTTAGAATTCCTAATAGAGAAAGTTCCACATGTTTTTCATCTGAATTTCATTTAATGAGCTTTTCTTTTATGTAAGAACATGGATATATGTATAGTTTTAAGAATGCCTGATAGGAAATCTTACTGATACTGGGTCACCTAGAAAGTTGTAGCTATCATAATCATGATAGATTGTACAAGGACCGCTCTAGCAAACAGCTAGAAAGCCTTGTTTTCCCTAACAGACTTGCCCTAAGAAAGGCATGCTGAGATAGTGATCCCCTTAGTCCTGAACCCCAGGACATCAAAACAAATAACTAATATTTTCTATTAATGCCTTGATGGGTTGGGAAGTACTTGTCTATAAGATCCAGCTTTTGAAAGAGTATTGTGATATGAAGTAGAAGTAGTGTTTTGGATTATTCTGGAGAGGTATACATGTGTGTGATATATGTGCATACATGTAGTATGCAGAGATATAAAATTTTGAGTTTACGTATCTAAATGCAGATATGTAAATTAATATGCGCTAATAGCTTTGATTCTCAACTGTTTTTCTGTTGCTCTACTGTTTGGATGTACTATACCTCATGAGTAACATCAAGGCTTTTTTGGTGAAGGGTTTTAAAAGTCTAATTATTTCCTTTACTGGGGTTTAGCCACTAAATTTTTGCCATTTAGACAGTTAAAATTGCAAAATATGAGTTGATCAAGTAGAAATTCTTAATAGTGAAAGACTTAAAGATTTAGAGAAAAAGAATATCCTTTTGCAGAGGTGAGGAGTGGGGTAGAAGGAGAAAGTGCCGTAACTCCATTAGCTTTTGTGCTCCGTGTGGTTTAAGTGTAAGATGTCTACAAAAATTGAAGAGTTTATATCTCGTAATTATCAGATACAAGTATGTTTTCCACTGTTGAAGAAATTTTCTGTTTTTACCAAATTGAGGTAAGGTTGAAATTATACTTTTTACAATATACCTAAAAAGCTCAATTAATAAACATTATAATTAGCTTCTTTTAAAATGTCCTAATATTTTAGGTTGCAGAAATTTTGCAAGTACCTCCAATGAGAGTGTATGAAGTAGCAACTTTTTATACAATGTATAATCGAAAGCCAGTTGGAAAGTATCACATTCAAGTCTGCACTACTACACCTTGCATGCTTCGAAACTCTGACAGCATACTGGAGGCCATTCAGAAAAAGCTTGGTATGGGATACATTATATTTGTAACTTTGATAAAAAATAGAAATGTCTATATAGATTTGATGTGTTTCTACCTAAATTTTCCAACACCTGCCAGCTTATTGGATCTGTTTTTCCCCAGTAAAATTTTGTCTTTACTGTTGTTTGCCCACCTTTCTTTCTTTCTATTTTATATAAGTCTTCCTTAGTTCTCAGCCTCAAAGCTGAGTTATCTACCATCTTTCCTTTTTTAGTCATTAAGTATGTTTGAAAAGCTTCTAAGAGTTTTAAAATTTTCATTGTTTAGAAAATTATGTTTCACTTAATTTCAAAGAAATTAATTGGTCAACTAATATATATAGAAAAAATTAGCTGGGCATAGTGGTGCATGCCTGTAGTCCCAGCTACTTGGGAGGCTGAGGCAGTAGGATCGCTTGAGCCCAGGAGTTTGAGGTTGCTATGAGCTAGGCTGACGCCACGGCACTCACTCTAGCCTGGGCAAAAAAAACCCCAAAAGAACAAAAACCATTGCTGCATTATACCTATATATGCCAAATGAAGTAAAAGGACTTATCTTTTAATTTTGTTATTAGTATAAAGTACTTGCATGTTGTAAAAATAGTTTGGCAGTACTGAAGTATATCAAACAGAAAGTTGAAGTTGTCTCAAAATCCCATCCTCCAACTCCAGGGTGTAAATTCTGATAACAGTTGTGTATATTAATTATAGATTTTATATCATTTTAATTATTAAATACATAAATGTATTTATAGTTACACTTTTTATACTTTATTTTGGCTATTTTCTATAGCATGATATATATATCTGCTTCATTTTTCTATTATAAATTAAGTTACTCTGCAATTACTTTCACATTACATCTTTGCCTACTTGTCTGTTATATACTGAGGTTATTTACAAGAAGTAGAATTGATGGGTCAGACTTTACCATATTTTGCCAGAATGCCTTCCCTAAATGTGTGAGAGTACTCATTTTCTTCATATCCTTAAAAACCCTTGACATTAGAAATTTCTGAGTTTTTGCTAATCTGATAGTGTGACTGATTTTAGTATAATTTTCACAATCAAAATGAAAATACAGTCTGATGGACTGCTATATAACAACAAAAACTGGAAATGAGTTTGCTGAAATTTGATTTTTTTTTAAAGGAACAAGTTTACTTAAATCCTTGCATGTTATAATTGTATAAAAAGTGTTTTTTTTTTTTTTTGAGAGTAGTCCTTTGTTGCCAGGCTAGAGTGGTGCCGTGGCGTCAGCATGCTCACAGCAACCTCAAATCCTGGGCTCGGAGTGATCCTTCTGCTCAGCCTCACGTAGCTGGACTACAGGCATACGGCACCATGCCGGTAATTTTTTTTATATATATATCAGTTGGCAATTAATTTCTTCTATTTATAGTAGAGACGGGGTCTTGCTCTTGCTCAGGCTGGTTTTGAACTCTGACTTGAGCAATCCGCCCGCTCGGCCTCCCAAGAGCTAGGATTACAGGTGTGAGCACCGCGCGGCCAGTGTTTTCTTTTTTAAAGAAATGTAATGCTCTAATATTTTTATATATCCTCATAATATATTGTTGGTTCTTTTTCTTTAATCAAATTGCTGTTAAAATATAACCTGGTTCTAATGGAGATTATTTATATTTTAGGAATAAAGGTTGGGAGACTACACATGAAACTTTTCACTCTTTAGAAGTGAATGTTTAGGGGCTGTGTAAATGCACCAATGGTTAAATAATGACAACTATTATGTGAGATTTCATTTAATATAAGTTAAAGTTGTATATTCATATTTAAATATCTAATACTGATTTTTGTCTATAAATGTTGGTTCTAAATGAATTATTCAGAAGAAGCTTTAGCTAAATCTAGGTTTTAAAATATCTTTAAGCTATTTGCATTTAAATTAGTGATAACAAATATTTTAACTTTTAAATTATGAAAAATTTAATAATTACATATAAAATACGAATAACTTGGTGTAGCAACTACCAAGACTTAACAGATGTAACATTTTGCCACATTTTATCAGATTTTGTTATCATCATCATCATTGTAAAAATAGCTAGATAAACACAGGTGAAGCATCTCCATCCCAAATCTTACATCTTTTTTCATCAAATAACACATTATCATAAATTAATGTGTGTTCCTATACATGTTTTAAACTTTTCTATATATGTGTGTAGCCAGACTAATATATTACTTGTTTAAAAATTTATAGAGATGGTATCATACTCTAAGTACTGTTTAGCTGTATTTCACAAGTTTATTTTATTTTATTTTTTTTTTTTTTTTTTTTTTTGAGACAGATCTCGCTTTGTTGCAGGATAGAGTGATGCCGTGGCGTCAGCCTAGCTCACAGCAACCTCAAACTCCTGGCTTGAGTGATCCTCCTGCCTCAGCCTCCCAAGTAGCTGGACTACAGGCAGCGCCACATGCCGGCTAATTTTTATATATATATCAGTTGGCCAATTAATTCTTTCTATTTATAAGTAAGAGACGGCGTTCGCTCTATGCTCAGGCTGGTTTTGAACTCCTGACCTTGAGCAATCCGCCCGCCTCGGCCTCCCAAGAGCTAGGATTACAGGCGTGAGCCACAGCGCCCGGCCAACACACAAGTTTATTTTAATTGAGCATTTGTCAAGTTTTGCATTTTGATTGTTTTCTTTCACCTTTGTTGTTTAGAAATATTCTTAATATCCAGATATGTGGAGTTTTCTAGTTATCTTTTTAAAAAATCACTTGCCACCCTAATTATATCATGGTTTTCATTCAAGATATCTTGTTAGGTCACATTTCTTAGAAATTTGTTTATGGAAATTCTTTGAGGACTGCATTGAAGGTAGATTGTTCAGGAAGGGATTTGTGGCCAGGCACAGTGGCTCGTGCCTATAATCCCAGCACTTTGGGAGGCCAAGGCAAGAAGATTGCTTCAGGCCAGCAGTTAGAGACCAGCCTGGGCAATATTGAGACCCCTGTCTCTATAAAAAATTAAAAAACTAGTCGAGTATAGTGGTGCTCACCTGTTGGCCCAGCTTGAGCCCAGAAGTTTGAGGTTGCTATGAGGATGCCACTGCACTGTAGCTCAGGTAACAGAGTGAGAACCTGTATGGAGGGGACAAAAGGGATTTGCTTTGCTCCCTTCTTGTTCTTAGAAGTGCTGCTGGCCCAGGAAAAGCCTCTTTCCTTATACCCTGTCTTTCTAGCCCCTCAGTGCAAAAGGTTCCAGACTAGCAGTTTTCTTTGAAGGGGACAGTTTAATTTCTAGTTTACTGTTATATAGAGGGTATAGCTTTTTGGGATCTTAACTTTGTGTGGTTTGGATGGTATCTTGTTTAGAGTCTCTTGGGCTGGCAGTGGGTTTTTCCCTTGCCCCTCTAGGCTTTGAAACCCTGAAGCCAAGTTTTGCTTGGTGTTCCACTTGTCCAAAACATGGATTTAAACTGAGTTTTTGGCCTCTGGGTATTTATTTCTTGATTTAAACCGGAATTAGACAGTCTAGGCTTTGTATGAAGCATTAGAAGTCTAAATGTAGCAGCCTGTGGATGTATTTGTCCAAGAGATAGAGATTTTTGCAGTAGTAGTGAGCTTTGGATTACAGATAGATATTAGGCATCTACTTACAAGTTACTAATTACTTTTTACACCCCATTGTTTATTCAGGGATATAGCATTTTTGAGCATATACCTTGGCACTATTTTAATTTATATATTTTCTCATTTAATCCTCAAAAACATGCTGAAGTAGGTTTACAAATAAGCAAATTTGGGGAGACTGAGTAACTTGTCCAAGACTATTAGTAAGTAGGGGGGGCAGGACTCAAATGCAAAATGCAGATGTATTTCACTTGAAAGCACTACTTGATATTGCCTCTTCAGCTATAGCTCTTGTTGTATATTATATTTAGTACTCTATGCTATATATAGGAATTATTCAGTTGTTGCTACCTTGGTAACTATCTTGTGTTCTGAGAGAGATAGGCAGATAATAAAATAGCTGGTTTTAGGAATTAATACACTTAAGTAGGAAATAATTTCAACATGGCTGTTGTAATTTGTTTTTTCCTAGGAGGATCTCACACCTAAGGATATTGAAGATATTATTGATGAACTCAAGGCTGGCAAAATTCCAAAACCTGGGCCAAGGTATGCTTTTGTTTATATATATGAAGTTTTAATGGCTTAACCTAAATTAATCTTTCACATAAACTTAATTAAAATTGTATACCCTAAGTTCATAGGAATTAGCAAGAGCTTTGGATAGTTATCTAGAGTAAGATTTTTCCCCCTAAAACCTATTAGATAATCATCCGATATCTACCTGAGTATTTATAGAGAAGGAAAATTTACTACAAATAGAAATCTGTTCCATTTTTTAAAAGTTCATACTGCTAAAGACTGACCCAAAGACTATCTCCCTCTATTTTCCACCTAAAATCCACTTCTGTCCTTTGAATTAACACAATTTTTTTTTTTCGAGACAGGGTCTCTGTTACCCAGGCTGGAGTGCAATGACACAATCATAGCTCAGTATAGCCTCAAATTCCTAGGCACAAGCTATCCTTCTGCCTCAGCCTTCTGAGTAGCTGGGATTACAGGCACGTGCCACTGTGCCCAACTATTTTTTTTATTTTTTGTAGAGACAGCATCTTGCTATGCTGCCCAGGCTGGTCTCAAACTTCTGGCCTTAAGCAGTCTTCCTGCCTTAGCCTCCCAAAGTGTTAGAATTATCCATGTGAATCACCATACCTGGCCAACACAAGATAATTTTAATACCTCTTCCAAATGACAGCCATTCAGTTACTTGAAATAGCTATTTTGTCTCCCCCATATCTTTTTCTTAGATTGAATAACCACAGTTTTTTCATTGTTTTTCCTTATATAACCAGCTTTAGTCCCTGTCCTCTGTGGGTTTTGTAGTTGGCTCTAGTGATTTTAATGTGATACTTAAACTAATCATAATATTTGAGATACATACTGAGTAGCACAGAGCATTTATGGGACTGCCTCCTTTGTTCCAGACATTAAACTTATAATAATGCATCCTAATTACATCAACCCTTATTTCAGATACATTATACAATTAATTGCATTTAATAGTCAGAATGCCTAGATCTTTTTCTGTTTATTCATTGTTTATCCAGGTTGTTCCATCCTATAGTTGTGTTATACTAATTACTTTTTTTTCAGTTATGAACTGAACTTACTACTAAACAAGCCCCTGTTTCATATCTAAGTGTACAATTATTCAAAATTGTCTCTTAATACTAGCAAATGTTTGCATGGTTTTAAATAGTTGTAATCCCTCTGAAAAAGTTTTTTTTATTGAAGTCATATACACTTTTTCTTCTCTCAACATATTAGTAGGTTTTAATGGCCATATAGTATTCTGACATTTTTAAAAGAGCTATTATGTGATCTTTATTCTCCTGTTTTAAAATGTTTTTCCTAAATTTTATTAAAAAATAATAATTCCCTGAAGTTGAATTACTAAGTATAAGTGGTTCTATAGTTTACTCTCTAGATGTACTGTCTCATCCTTCTGGCAGACTAATAATCCTACTTAGTGAGAAAATGAGGTCAATTCAGGGTAACTTAAGTTGAATACACACTAGTTTGTTCCTGTTAACTATTACTTTCTTTTCTAATAAACATACATATGCTACTTTCAACACCCTAAGCCTATATAATTTGCTTCACTTTTGGGGGTACACTTGCTTTGTTTTAGGAGCTACATTTCCATTGTGAAAAATCATTCTCCTTTATGAAGGCACCTGAAGTGAAACCTTTTGATGTTTAACATTACAGTATCTTTCTTAGCTACTGGTCTTATCCCTTACTTATTCTTGCTTCAAATATACATACCCTCCCCCAGAAGAGTTCACATTTCATAGTATTTTCTACAAATTTCAGCTCCTTTTTGGAATTCAGATGTTTTTTAAATAAGTTTATGCTATTCTTATGTCTATACTCAAACCTGTAACTTCTTTCAACTTTTGGATACTTTTTTTAATATCTCAAGTGAATATTTCCCTGTGTAATCCACTTGGGTTCTTTTGATGGCCTCCTTTCTTCTGATTAGATGTTTGTAATTCTATAGTCATAATTTTGTTGTTTAGAATCTCCTACTTTTCTCATTAATTCTGTGATCTACAGTTAACAGCATAAATCCAGTGTTACTCTCCTGCCATGCAAATAGGCAGATAGTTGCTTTGTCTACTTTATTGCATCACATCACATTACATATTCAACACTCATTTATTTCACATTTTTTAAATGTCTGCTGTGTACCAAGCAGTATTTTAAGTTATGCATATAGTTGTAAACAAGATCAAGTTCTCATATATCTTATATTCTAGTGATAGAGACAGATGACAAGTAATATCCAAATGATAAAATGCTATTAAGAAAAATGAAGGTAGGATGAGGATAGAGAATGATTGGGAATAAATTTAGTCAGGAGAGGCCTCTTGGAGGTGATAACATTTGAGCCATGACCTGAATGATGAGCTGGAAGGAACTGTGTAAATAGGTGGAGGAACAGTATTCCAGAGATGGTGGGGAAAGAGGATATATCAAGGTTCTAGAGGGAAAGACAATATGCCTACAATGAGGTGACTGAGGAAGAAAGTGGTGGAAAGGATCAGAGAGGGAGATGGGGGCCTACATAAGAAATCTGGGTTGACTACCAAATATAATAAAAAGCTGCTGTTGGTTTTCAGTAGGGAATGATATGACCAGTCTTGTTGAAAATATTGTCCTAGTTGCTATGCAAAGAATAGTTTAGAATATAGATGTTTGAGGCTGAGGAATTATGAGGATTTCTAGCTTTTTGGCTTGAGCATCTCCATGAGTCCTTTAACTAAAATGGAGAAGATTTGGAATAGGGCAAGTTTGGAGTTAGAAAGTCAGCAATTTTGTTTTAGACATGGTAAGTTTGAGATGCCTGTTTAGACATCCATGATAGAATGTTGACAGATGTGATGCTGGAATTTAGGCTGGAAATATGACTGGAGATTCATTAGTTATTATATGTGGTTTTTAAAGTCATAAGCCTGGGTGAGAGTGTCAGGGATGAAATTAGAATTTGTTGTTAAAAACAATGAGATACTATAACATTGTATTTTAACATTAATAAGCAGAAACCAAATACTACAGTTAAGCATTTTCAGCATCTGATCCTAAGGATGTTGCTTGTCATTAGTTGTATATAGTTCTTTACTGGGATTTTCTTGACAGTATTCTTCTGGATTTGAGCCAAAGACTTTAGAAACATTAGTGTCTGAACCTATTTTTATTTTTTACTTATCACACCTCTTATTTAAAAGGCAGAGGTAAATCTACTTATTTTTCAATAATTGTAGAGCATCTATTGATAGTGTATAAAGCTTGTATTTGGACATGGTAACACTAGAATGTCTTATGAGCACAGGGAAACAAAAACTTTTGACTTACCTCCCCAAGTTAGTATCTTGGATATATAGATAATGAGAGACTGAGCTAGCCATAACCATAATACAGTTATTCTTTAAATTAACCAAAGCTGCTAATTGTTTTTATTGGTATTTTTATGATAAAGTTCTCTACTCTCATATTTGAAAGAGGTTCTAATTATGAATCTTTGAAAAATGAAAAACTGTGACAAATTAAACTGGTTCAATAGTGAATGATCTCTGGGTACTACCACTAGGTCTGCCCTGGCCAAAATTAGTAAAAGACTAATGTCTCCATGGCTCAAAACTGCTTGTTTATTATATTTGGTAAATGACTGTTAAAAAGAAAATATTAAACCAGTGGTTAGGTAATGAAGTTGACCCCTGAACTACAGGGGTTAGTGGCACTGATCCATGCATAACTTTTGACTCCCCAGAACCTTTGCCAGTACTGTTGACCTGACCAGAAGCTTTACTGATAACATAGTGGATTAACACATTTTATATGTAATATTGATATGTACTATATATTCTTACAATGATGTAGGCTAGAGAAAAGAATATGTCATAAAATCATAAGGAAGGGAAAATATATTTACTATTCATTAAGTGGAAGTGGATCATCATAAAGATCTTCATCCTTGTCATCTTCACTTTGAGTAGGCTGAGGGGGAAGGGAGGAAGGGTTAGTTTTGCTGTCCCAGGGGTGGCAGAGGCAGAAGACAATCCACATATAAGTGGACCCTTGCGTTTTTCAAGGGTTAACTATGCTCTTTCTGAATTTTGACATTTGTAAGTATTTGTGTGCTAGAGTTGTTCTTGTTCTCAGTGAATTTAGAGCAGTGAAAACAACTTCTAAATCTGGTTTCAAATTACTAATAGTTCTTTTCAGTATAGATTAGTTTATAGCTACTTTTAAATCCAACTTGAATTCTTCATATTTAGTTTTGTAAAAATCTTAGATTTTGCACAATTGTGTGGGGTGCAGGTAATAAAAGTAAAAAATACATAGCTAGGCTATACTACCAATGTGGTTGTTGAAAGATGACTGTAGACCAGGCATCCTCAAACTACGGCCCTCGGGCCACTTGCGGGTGTTTTTGCCCGTTTGTTTTTTTACTTCAAAATAAGATATGTGCAGTGTGCATAGGAATTTGTTCGTAGTTTTTTTTAAACTATAATTCGGCCCTCCAACGGTCTGAGGGACAGTGAACTGGCCCCCTGTTTAAAAAGTTTGAGGACTCCTGCTGTAGACAATAAAATCACTTTTGGTTTTTTATACTAAAAGTAGGGGCAGTGTGAATATACCTTAGCAATAATAAAATGTAAGCACTAAACTTCCATAAAGTACAGAAAGGCCAGATTGGCTGTGTGTGGTGGCTCACGCCTGTAATATTAGCACTCTGGGAGGCCGAGTTGGGCGGATTGTTTGCACTCAGGAATTCAAGACCAGCCTGAGCAAGAGTGATACCCATCTCTACTAAAAAAAATAGAAAGAAATTACCTGGATAAATAAAAATATATATAGAAAAAATTAGCTGGGCATGGTGGTGCATGCTTGTAGTCCCAGCTACTCGGGAGGCTGACGCAGTAGGATCGCTTGAGCCCAGGAGTTTGAGGTTGCTGTGAGCTAGGCTGTGTCACAGCACTCTAGCCTGGTCAACAGAGTGAGACTCTTGTCTCAAAAAAAAAAAAAGGCCATGTTTTCTAAAATGCAAATGACCCAAAATGATACATATGCATAGAATGTTGGAATGGCTGAAAAACCACGTTTACGCTTTTGAAGTTTAATGAAACAAGGTAATTATTAGATGGCATTTTAAACATGAGATACTATGGGAAATCATTTTTTGTTCATTAAGTGAAAAACCCTAGTGTAAATTGTAACTGTCAGGTAAATGGATAGGGCTAAATCACTGTCTCTTGAGTGTCCTGAGGCATGTTTACAGATGGGGCCAGGGGAGAATTACATTAGTAGTAGATTAAACAAAATTATAGGCTTAACTGAAGGATTTTATAATATTTGTAATTTCTTAATATGCATTGTGTGAGTGGTGGGGAGAGGAGGTGGTTTGCAGCCAGACATAGTGGACCACTGGAACCCCCTTTTTTCTCTAAAGTATGCCGTGGGCCAGGTATGGTGGCACATGTCTGTGGTTCCAGCTACTCAGGAGGCTGAGGTGGGATGATCCCTTGAGCTGAGTTCTAGGCCGCAGTGAGCTATGATTTTGCCACTGCACTGCAGCCTGGATGACAGAGCCAGACCCAGACTCTAAAAATAATAATAATAAAGTATGTCATGGGATTGTAATTTCATGGAACAAACTTTAGGAAATTCTGGGCCAGATTATTCTTAAAATAACTACTATATGTAAAGATGTCCTAATCCTGTGAAGAATTCAGGAGGTATATATGATTAATTCTATTTACTGTTCCAGAAACGTTAGTTACTATAATCTTCCTAAATTTATCCTTTGTGTTGGTAAAAAGGGTATCAGTATTAAGGAGCTTTTATTAATTTAAAAAGACCCACATCTATCCAAACTGATAAGCATTAAGATATCAAATGCTTAGCTTTCAGGAGACTGCTAAAATGAACATCATATTCCATTTTGATATTTGATCAAGAAAAAAGTTGTGGACAGAGAAGTTCAACAGAAGGGATAGCTGAACTTAAACCACAAGTGGGACTCCAATAAAGGAAGAGGTCCTCCAAAATAATAAAGAGCAGCAGTTGTACTTAATTAATATTAAAAAAATGACAAAGCCAAATACTGGTTTTTTTTTTAATGTTAAGTATCATTTTGCCACTTACCTTACCTACAACATTAGTTTTATGCTTTGACAGGTAGTACTGTGTTTCCCCAAAAATAAGACGGGGTCTTATATTTCCTCAAGAAGACACCCTAGGGCAGGGGTCCTCAAATTACTGCCTGTGAGCCACATGCTGCCCGCAGGGTATTTTTGCAGCCGCTGCCTGTCCTGTTAGCTGACTCGTCCTGGGCCCACAATGCGCATGTGTAGAATGTGCGCCGCACTCTCCAATGGCCCTCCAATGGTCTGAGGGACAGTGAACTGGCCCCGTTTAAAAAGTTTGAGGACCCCTGCCCTAGGGCTTATTTTCAGGGGATGTGTTATTTTCCCCTCAAAGCCTCAGTTTGTAGCATGCACAGGATAGTCAGGACCTGACAGGGGGAGCCGACCTTGTTGCTGGAGCTGCCCTCACCTTTCCAGTCACCTCTTGGATAGTGGAGATAGTAGCTGTCACGAAGGAGCAGATGAGAAGGGCTGCTCCATGTCTTTACCGCTCCTCCATGAAATGCGTGGGTTGTGCAGATACACTGCTTAGCCACGCCCATCACTAGGTCTTATTTTTGGGGTAGGGTTTATGTTGCACAAATGCTTAGAAATCCTGCTAGGGCTTATTTTATGGGTAGGTCTTATTTTCAGGGAAACATAGTATATAATGACTGCTATTTGATCTGTTTTTATAGTGAACAAAAAGACCTATAATGCAAATTTATCAACTAATTTCTGACTTCGTACTATTATTCATTACAATGCATTATGTGGTTACTTATATTACTGTGGTAACTTGAAAGATCTTATAAATGATTATGTGGTGTCATTTTCCTGTCTCAACAAAAAATGATTTCCTAGGGCTCTAAACAACAGATTTGTAGGATTGGTGACAGAATGTGAAGGGCAAAGCCAGAGGGGGTTGAAAACATGTAAGCTGAACAAGTTCTTTAGCTAAAATCTGTGGCAGGAACAAGGTAAATTAGCAGAGCCAGGGAATAGCGAGGGAAGGGTGAAGTGATACGGAGTAGGTGCTGAGCTGTGCTCTAGCAACAGAGGTCAGCCAGGGCAGAGGTGAGCAGTTACCTGGGAAAGTATGTGTGAGGGTGAAAAAAGGCAGACAGGTTCTTCTACCTCTGCTCTCCCTCTTCATAAATTCCTCCATCAGGACCTGCTCTTGCTTTCTGCTATTTGTGGATGTGGTGGCCGTCTTGAAACCTGGTCTTGAAACCTTCTTTCAAAAAATTACTACTACTTATATAGCTTTAAAAAACCAAATGCAAATAGATTTTGACTTCATCCTTCCAAATTTTCATATTTCTCAAGGAATCCAGTTTCAGTTTTTATTTCCAAATATAGTGTATAAATGTGTGTATTTTTTCTATTCACTGTGACAGTGGATCTCAATCTAAATAAACTTCAAGTATAAAAAGAAATATAGTGCTCTAATTTATTAAAACATGTTTTTTAAAAATGTTCTCTGGGGCTGGTTTTTTTGGGGGGAAGTAATAGTTTTTTACTCTGATCTTTGGGCAGATGCTGAATCTGCCAAACCTTGCTTTATGTAGCTATAAAATAAAGCCAGTATCATTTGTCTCATGGCATTGTTATAAACATTAAGTGAGCTAATGTGTGTACATTGCTTAATAAATGGAACATTATCAGTGTATTTTATATTTCATATTTATGATGAGTTTTTTTTTTTTTTTTCGAGACAGAGTCTCACTTTGTTGCCCAGGCTAGAGTGAGTGCCGTGACGTCAGCCTAGCTCACAGCAACCTCAAATCCTGCTCAAGCAATCCTCTGCTCAGCCTCCCAAGTAGCTGGGACTACAGGCATTCGCCACCGTGCCCGGCTAATTTTTTGTATATATTAGTTGGCCAATTAATTTGTTTCTATTTATAGTAGAGACGGGGTCTCGCTCTTGCTCAGGCTGGTTTCGAACTCCTGACCTTGAGCAATCCGCCCGCCTCGGCCTCCCAGAGAGCTAGGATTACAGGCGTGAGCCACCGCCCCCGGCCTATGATGAGTTTTGATAGGTCTTTTCATATTTAACATTAGGAAGAAAAAAATCTTGCAGCAGTTGATATGTTTGAATTAAATAATACATGCTAGTTCTTGAGGGAAAAATAGTTACTTAACTAGGCTGTCGTGAGATAACAATTATAATTTTTTAAGTAAAAATGTATGAATGTTAATCATTAACTTAATTAACTTAAAGTTAATCATTAACTTTTCTTTTCAGGAGTGGCCGCTTCTCTTGTGAGCCAGCTGGAGGTCTTACCTCTTTGACTGAACCACCCAAAGGACCTGGCTTTGGTGTGCAAGCAGGCCTTTAACTAATATTCAACTGTAAATATGTCACTGGAGAAATAAAATATGAACTTCCTATCTACATCAACTTTTTATATTATTTGTTTATTCCGGTCTCAATGTACATCTTGGTGGTAACCTAGTCCCAACTTGTAGGTGTAAGTATTATGTCAAAATGACAGAGCACCATTTTAAAGTTTTCCACTATCCAAGGCTAACTACGAAGACGTTATTACACAATCTAGTTAACAGTTACTCCAGTGTCACTCGTTTTCTTTCTTTTTTTTTTTTTTTAAACTCTTCTTTTTCTGAATCTAAGCACAGAAACAACAGTGTCACTCATTTTCAACTGCCAGGTCACTTTTATCAATAATAGGTTGCTGTGAAGTAAAAATTCTGTCAAATTTCAAATATATTTTGCTTTCCTATCTTTGGCCACAGCCAAGTTTTAATCCCTTTAAATATTTTTATATTTACAGCATGTAATTGTTATTGTATTTCCAACTGGTGACACCTCAAGCACACTGTAGGTGTAAGAAGGATAAGGTAGTTGTAGAAGCATTATCATTCTTAAAAAAGAAAGGTACAAAACACTTTGACATTACCTTTGACTATTGCGACACTGCAAGCATACAAAAAATAATTGGAAGTATAATCATGAGTGGAAAAATCAGTAGATATGCAAAATATATTGTATAGAATAGATATTACCATTTAGAAGAAAGGATAAAACCTTTGTATTACCAGTTCAAGAAACTAGCTTTAATTTTTTAGTTTTTTGCAAATGAGAAAAAAAAATAGATATAATTCATGAATAATTCTAATCAAATTGTTTCAGGATTTCTTAGAGTCACTGTTTGGCCTTGCTTTTGAGACAGACTATTCACAAGTAATTATGCCTAAAAAGATAATGATTGTTATTTTTTTTTCTTTTTTTTTAATTTTTAAAACTTTAAAATCTTATACTCAAATTTTATTTTTCTTCTTTCTTGTTTTTTCTCTAACATTAACATATGTAGCTGATAAGATAATGGTTCTTTTTAAGGATGTCTTTAAGAATTAGGTTTTTTACTTGAGGGAAGGTAAACAATAACAGTTTTCCACGTGGCACAAGTTTACACAATGAAAATGTCTTCCTTCTATCCTAGAGCTCTCTTGACTTTCTCATAGACAATTTTTTCTTTGTATTTCACGCCATAAACACCCAAATTAAAATGTTACGCTATTCCACTTCTAGCCATAGGGTGCTCTCTTAATATTCATGTTGAACCCAATGTTTTATAGTTGGGAGAAATCGGGAACCTAGAAAAGGAAAATCTGATCTTCAATGCAGGTTTATGCTTTATAATAATTTGTTGGGACTTGGCCTTCCCGGAATAGTATGAATGTCACCTCATCTTCTGTGATCACATCTGAACACTCAGTTTATTAGTGACATAAAGGACAGTCTTACAGGAATGTGTAACTGCACTCATTAAGTCACAAACTGCTGCTGCAGTAGTTTTTAGAGGCCACAGTTAACAGTGAAGGAGCTGATGGTTTCCCGCAGAGTATGTAACTCCGTAGGTGCTTAAAGTTAAGACATGTACAAATTGTTGCGAATTAATCTGTATGTAAATCAAACGCACGCAGAAGGAAGTCAGAGCTCATACTGCTGCTATGCTGAGATGGTAAGTTTTCCTTATGCATTCTTCCCCAGTACCTGAGCAGTTCCGTCTTAAATGCTCAATACCACATGTGGAAAAATGCACTGAAATTGCACTCTAGCCATCGGAAGGTGTGACTGGGAGGGGTCTTACGATCCTGCGGATCCCAGGGCAGGTGCAAGCTACTGCGCTTTCGGGGGCGGGTGCTGGGGCCCCACCTGGCGTCCGGGACCACGGACTCCAGGCGCAGGTGCAGCCTGTTCCGGCTGCGCAGGCGCACTGCGACACAGACGCGCGCAGGCGCCCAGCCTTTCCCGACCACCGCGCGACCAGCCAGCAGCAAGCAGTCCGCTTAGCTGAGAGAAACTCCCGCCTCGGCCTCACGTTGTGTCAGCGTCGTTTCGCCCGTGGCCGGACTCAAGCTCCTTTACACATCCCTTGTAAAAACAACATGTGAATACCCTACGTGGGGCCTCTTCATCGCCGCCGCCATTTACAGAAGTCTCCAGTCACAGCTACTGCGGTGGTCGCCGCAAAAAGTGACTGCAGAGCCCGCTTGCTCGGCAGCGTCAGCGGCGCCTGCGCCGCGTCCTAGCTTTTGGTGCCCCCTTTCCTCGGGTGGGCGACAGCAGAGGAGAGGCGGTGACACCGGGTGGGGCGGGGAGACGGAGCAGCGCGAAGGGAGGAGTTCCGGTCCGCACCCCTCCGCCACCACCCACTTGGTACGTTCCGCCTCCCCCACCCTGCTGCTGCTGGAGATGCTTCTCCACAGAGCAGCGGGAGGGGCGGGCGCCGGGGGGCGGGGCGGTCACGCCGTCCGTCCCGTGCCCGCGGGAGTCACGTGTCCATGGGAGTCACGTGCCCGCAACGCAGCCAATAGCTGGGCGGCGCTGTTCTGGGAGCGAGGAGGCTGTGGTGAGAGACGGACGGAGACCGGAGATGTTTTCAAGCCCAGCCCCGTCGGCGTTAGTGGCGGTTGCAGCGGCGACGAAGACAACGACAGCGACGGCCACGCTGAAGCACTCGTTCAGGGGGTAAACCCTCCTGCGCTGGCCGTGCCTCGGGTTCGTGCGGGCGAGGGGGGCGTGGCGACAGGGAGGAGGAAGGAGGGGCGCGGTTTCGAGCCTGTGCCCGACGCCTGGGAGGAGACCCCCGGTCCTGCGTTGCTCCGGTTTCCCCTCCTAGAGCAAGGTAGGGGCCGCGCCCTGCCCACCCCGCCGGCTCCGGAAGCGCCGCCGGCCAGCCCGGTGCCGAGGCGCCGCCGGCCTGACAGTGACAGGCCGTTAGAGGCCACCGGCGCGGGTCCGCCTCGGCCCCGCCCGCCGCCGCCGCCTTTCGCGGCGTCCCGAGACCGCGGCGCAGGTGGGAGCCGCCAGCTGGCGGCGCCGCGCGGGCGGGCGCGGCCGGTGGAGGCTGGGCGCGGCGCCCCGCCGCCGCTGCCGGAGCTGGGCTGCCGCCGCCTCCCGGAACATGGCGGGGCTGGCGGAGCGTGTGCGTGCGAGTGTGCGCGGCCGAGAGCGCCGCCGGCGTGCCGGGCCGGACCCGGCGGGGGCGGGGGCGGGGGCGCGCCCGGCCGCCGCGCGCTCTCGCCGCCTGTGGCTGTGCGAGCGCAGACGGGGACCCAGCCGGGCCCGCTCAGGCCGGGAGTGCCGGAGGTACCCGGGGTCCGGGGAGAGGTGGGTGCCAGCGAGAAGGGGAAATTGCTGCGTTAGTAGTCTCAGGAGAAAGGAGAGCGGCCACGCCGCAGTTCGTGTGAGCTGCCTTTGCCGCATTGTGCGCTCAGTTCTTTCCACCGTTTTCTAGTGCCCATGCGAGTGATGTTCGGAGACCCTTGGAGCACGTCAGGTTCTTAGATCTCATTTTGAGGAGTGATGCGGTTGACGCATCCTTGAGGATCCCAAAGCGTTGAATAAACGGTTGTACAAAGAGGTTACTGAAGGCCAACAACTGACAGCTGTTTTAATGATAACAGTAAGAAACTTTTTAGGATAGGAAGTTAACAATATTGCACTACTTGAAATCGTAGGAAACATTTAAAGCAGTGTTGTCAGTGGGATTGTAATTTCCACTGGACATCTGTGGCTAAATTGAGAATTCGAGTGAAATGTTTAGCAGATCCAGTCATCTGTAATGCTTTGGATTATCTCTGATCCTAAAGTTGAAATGAACCTGCGTTCTCCATCAAGTCTTCCTGTTTCATTTTAAATTATGGGCCGGGCGTGGTGGCTCATGCCTGTAATCCTAACACTCTGAAGGCCGTGGCGGGAGGATCGCTTGAGCCCAGGAATTTGAGGCTACTGTGAGCTATAGGCTGATGCCTTGGCACTCTAGCCTGGGTGACAACAGCGAGACTCTCTCAAAAAAAAAAAAAAAAATTGCAAAGGAAGGCTAGCTAGTGAAATAGGTATTTTAAGATAAATTAACTGGTTATTTAAAACATATGCTCAAGTAAGGCCGTTCAAAATCCTGGGCACTGATCTGTTTCGGTTTTTTAAATCATTATGCAAAAGTTTTCCTGGAGATTAGCTCAGAACTGGCAAAAGATATACTCTGTTGGTGCCAAACGGCTTAAAAGCAAAACGAGATAGTGTCGACTGTACAAAATGATGTCAATATATTAACTAATCTTGAGAAAAATCTTTAATTTCAGTTAAAAGCAAAAACATTTAAAGATTATAAATATTTCTTTGGGAGATTATAGACAAGGGAAGAAAGATGTTACTGCTTAAGGATCTTTTGTAGTTAACGAAAGCACTGGTTACATTTCTAAAGCTCTACAGATAGCTTGACTTAGGTCAAGCTTAACTATTCAGGTTATGCGTTCTATTTGAGAGACAGGCAAGGTGTTAAAATGAAGGAAAACCAGAATTTAAGTGTATTCATGGAAGGAAAATTAGAGTAAAAAGTAGGGTACCTTTAATGTTCTTGATCTCTTATAGTTTTCATAGTAATTGTTAAGAATTAGTCGTTGTCAGAATAGTTTTATGAACTAAGAGCTGGGAAAGTGGAAATCTCTGGGCGTGTATTCCATGAAGAGTATTTGAGGAGGAGTAAAGAGAACAAAAATACTGAGATGAGGAAAGAACTTAGTAGCTGAAAATACATTGTGCAGTCCCTCGTATTGGTTCTTTAACATCCAAGAAAAAAAGCCTGAGTTTATTTGGAGACAAGTGTCCAACCAGTGGAATGAATTTGAAAGGAAGATGTTTTTATTTAAAGTAAGATGTCAATGTTACTTTTTTCCCTATAGAAGTAGTTGGAAAATGTGACTGTGTTCTTCTGAGGTAGATTGGCAAACCTGGTAGTCACTTGGGATATTTGGAAAACACTTAGTTGGAAAAGAGATTTTTATTCTAAAAAATATGAAGAATAATTGTAAAAATGTTATTTCAATTTCTTGGTATTAGCTGACCTGTAAATTTTCTGTAAACTGTTATGTTTTTAGAACATATTTTCAGTCCAAAAAGAATGGTTAGTGAGATTAGTAATTTCCATCATAGTCCATAAGAGGTTTAGACGGCTTTCTGTATATAAACTTAATCATACTGAGGTAACATCTGCCAGACAGGCATGAAGAATTTGGCAATTAAAACAGGTTGCTTAGGAGCTATTGACATTGCTTTCTGACATCAAATTTGTTGCTAACAGTAAGGGTGCAGTCTGGTAGATTTATCCTGAGACTGGAAGAGACCTCTAAATTTCTAATCCAGTTCCCTCATTTCACAGGTGAGAAAATAAAGGCCTGATAAGGTAAAATGATTTGCAGCTAGTTAAAACAGTCTTTGGGTTGACTTACAGGTTTCTGTCTGTGAAGATGCTAATTTGCCTCTTTCGAAGTAGCTTTATGGAGTTGTGGAAAGAACACTGAAATATAAGTGAGAAGGCCAGGTTTTAAATTCTTGACTTGTCACTTCCTATCAGTGGTTTTTGACATATAACATTAACTTTCAGAACCTTGCCATCTTAATCTACAAGAGTAATTTTCCTACATAATTTACAGTGTATTAGTTGGAACAAGTAAGAATACTATATAGAAAGCACACTGTAAACTTTTATGTAGATAAAAAAAATGGTGATATTATTTTTTAAAAAATACAATTTTTAAAGTATAGCAAGGTGTTTAGATCCCTAGGTTTTTGCTTAGCCCTAGCTTTATTGTTTTCAGCACCTGGTATTTTATAGATTATAGCTCCCTGTAGATACATTTTCTGATCCCCACTTAGTTCTAATCTTAGTAAAGCCTCTTATGAACATTTTAAATATTGCAGTTGTTAGAACTTGACTTCCCCTGGAGAATACCAAGTTTCTTCATCTAGCATTTGAAAACATTCTCATATACACTCATGCATGCATAATCTGCTTCTTTAAGAGACAATGGCTTTTTTGAAAGTAATAGTGAAAGTATCTTAGTAACAATGTTAATTTGTCTCTTGTTTCCAGATATGGCAATAGTGGGAGATAATTTCCTTCATAAACTCAGCTTTGAATAGTTCATGTTAAGGTCATGTGGTAGATCTGAAATATACAGAAATGTTAAAATAGAACTTTTGTTTGCTTTTGCTGTTAAGTTTTAGTAAAAGGTTAAGTTTTAGTTAAGTTTAGTTAAGTTAAGGTTAAGTTTTAGTAAAACCTTTAAAACCTTTTACTGTTTGAAATTGATAATACTATCATAAAAAACCAGTATGTCAATATTGTATTAGGTTATTAAGTATGAAATGTCTGATTTCCTTAAGTACTAACTTTGCCAGTTGGTATCTCTGACATTTCACTTTGACACTTCTAGTTTTATTTTTATTGTGAAGGCACATCCTCATTTTTTCAAAAGAACGGGTTTGGCTTGTGATTGTGTTTCACATTCTTTTGAGAGCAATACTTGTGAAACCATGGATAAGTAAAAAATTTTGTGTTATTTTTGAATGAGTTCCATCGTGGAACCAATGCAGCGCAGACAGCTTGAAATATCAAGAAATGTTTGGGAAGGATGTGGCTGATGAACTCACAGTATGTCAATGGTTTGAGAAGTTCTGTTCTGGTTTTAATCTTAAAATGAGCCACGTGGGTGACCTGAAACCAGCGGGGATAATGATAAGCTGAAAGCTGTAGTGGAAGTGAATTTTCAACCTGCGTGTGAATTAGCAGCAAGGTTTGATGTTACTATTCCAACAATATTGGACCATTTGAAACAAATCGGCAAGGTAAAGAAGCTGGATAGATGAGTTTCACATGAAATTAAACGAACATCAGAAGAGAAATCGTTTGGAAGCTTGCCTGTTTTTGCTGTCACAACATAAAGGCGAACCATTTCTATCCCATATTGTTGCATACGATGAAAAAGGGATTCTTTTTGACAATTGCAAGCTTGCGGCACAATGGTTGGGTAAAGATGAAGTGGCAAAACACAGTCCCAAACTGAATGGTCATCAAAAAAAGCTACTGGTGTCTGTTTGGTGGTCTGTAGCGGGTATTATCCGCTACAACCTTATGAAACCTGGTCAATTGATTACAGCACATGTCTACTGCAATCAAGTGGATAAACTGATGACGATGCTTGGGAGTAAGCAGCTGAGATTGGTCAGTAGAGACAGACCAATCCTCCTGCCAGACAACACTGGACCACATGTCACACAAACAACGCTGCTCAAACTATAGAGGCTGGTCTTGGAGACTCTCTGTCATCCACTGTATTCACCAGACCTTGCACCAACTGACCACCACTTCTTCCAGGCTTTGGACCACTTCTTGGAAGGAAAAATATTCAGTTCTCAACAAGCTGTGGTAAATGTCTTTTGTGATTTCATTGCCACTTGCTCTCGAGGCTTCTTCAGTGCTGGCATAAACAAGCTACTGTTAAGATGGCAAAATAGTGTCAATAGTTTAGGCTCATATTTTGATTAATTGTCTTTCTTGTTTGATACATAATAAACTATTGATTCGAAATCAGACATTTCATATTTAATTACCTAATAATATTACATAGATTATCAGAATATTTGTAGCTCTGAAAACAAATGTCATGATAATAGTAGATAATATTTGCTGAGCACTTAGAATATGCAAGACTCTGTTTTAAGTGAAATATTTCAGATAATTTTCATAACCCTGTGAAACAGATCGTGTTACTCTTCTGACAGATGGCAGAGGAAACTGAGGCTTTGAACAGTTATGTGATGTGTAGATATTCACACAGCTAA